TTTTTTTTTTTTTTAATGCACATTCTCAGATTAATTCACCGCGTGTCGTGCCCAGGGCTGGACTGGGACAAAAATCGGCCCGGGCGTTTTGACTACAGAACGGCCCACCAGGTATTAAAGCCATAAAGCCTTTGAATGAAAACAGATGCTGTGGTGACAGTGATGTACGCCGTCTTGTTGGTATATGTATGATTTCTATACACGCTACATCAGATGAAAACTTTGGTTGTAAGATTCAGATAATTATTTAATAAAAGCTAGACATTTTAAATGAGAATAAGAAAAAAGTATTTCTTTGTGCCCCCCTTTCCTTGTTAATGCCCTACCTGGCCCCCTGGCAACACTTTGCTAGACCCGCCCCTGCACAGTTACCAGCTGTCAGCTACACAGAAAAGCATCCTGGTGTTATTTGTCTCTCAGAAACAGTTCATAACTTCCCTTCAACTCATTCATGTCAAATTAATATTAAATAAATCGTAACAACAGCTGATCAAGCTTAAAGGTGCTGCTGTTGTTTAGCACGACATCCGCTGGTTTCCTTTCTGGTGCAAAGGGGGCGATAAACAAACAAGAGAGAAAAGCCGATCAGCTGATCATTGATCAGTTTCATGATGAGAGAAGAAGAGGCAGCTGTGCAGCGTAAACTCCAGCTTTGTGTCTTTTTCCATTGTAGCTGAAGTCCGGGACAAACTGTTCCTTTTCAGCTCAATACGAAACGCGTAATATTTTCTCTGAATACGAGACGATTCTGTTTTTTATGGGACTGTTGGCAACTCTAATAACCTTATGAATAAAATAAAGTTCACTATCAGTAACATAGCACCCACCCAGCTGTATATAAACTCCGTCATGCTAGCTAGCACGCAGTACGAGTTATTGTAACTGACTGTGAAAAGTCAGCACAACGAAAATAAACCACACCTAAACTTGGTTTATATCTGACCCTGATAGACTGCAGGTCATAACTTCTTACCTGAAGTTCAGTTCACCTGACACTCGGACCGGCGGCCGCCTCGGGTCTCTCCTGCCTCCCCTCCTGCCTCCCCTTTCCCTCATCCACCTGCTGGCCTCTGTGGAATCTCCGCCGTAGCCACCACCAAACAACTGAGTTATTTTAACACATCGACCAGCATCTGGCCAATCCACCACCTCTTATTGTTTATACCATTACAAAAAATCGGCTCATAAAAACGAAAAATCACCCGGTATGCCCGATGGCCAGTCCAGCTATAGTCGTGCCATCAGTTTACCCTTCGCGTGACAGCCACAGCTAAAATGTGATGTCATCAGACTGCATGTGACCGGCTGGTCATTAGCATCACTTGATGAGTCGTGAGAAGGTCTCGTGCACGAAAATCAATACCGCCATTTTTGAAACCCAGCAACGGGGAAATGGTTGCAAAAAACACCATGTTCCCCAAGGGTTCATGTTAGAGTCAAATTGTTGAATGTTGTCATTGTGTTTCTTAAATTTGTAAAGTCTTGGTTCAAGTAGTAGGATCAAAGACATTCCTTTGTCTCTGACCACCTCTCCAGCCAATTTGGTGCTGGGTGAGGCTTAGGGAGGTTTTGGGGCAGGGATAGCTCAGTAGGTAAAGTGGTCGCCCCATGATCGGAAGGTCGGCGGTTCGAATCCACTTAACGGCTACCCTGAGGTACCCCTGAGCAAGGTACCGTCCCTACACACTGCTCCCCAGGCGCCTGCTTAGTGGGCTGCCCACTGCTTCACTGAGTGAATGGGTCAAATGCAGAGAAAAACAAGTAATTTCCCCATGGGGATCAATAAAGTATCCATTATTATTATTATTATTATTATTATTATTATTATTATTATTATTTATTATTATTTATTATAGATGGATCCTATCTGAAAGATCTGTTTCTTGTGCTGTAAGCTTCCTGCTTTTATGATCCTTTGGTGAGCAGGAGGTCACCCAAACGCACCCCCATGACACACACACACACACACACACACACACACACACACACACACACACACACACACACACCTACCTTTATAGCATTGGAGGGCTGCCCTTTGGCACCCCTCCTCCGTAGTCTTCCACTGCTCTCTCTATTGTTCATCCTGGGGTTGCCCTCCTCCAGGCTTGTACCTGTGGCTTCCTGTCTGGGGGTGGGTGTTGGCAGTTCTTCTGCCCTGCACCCCAGCCCTTTGTTCATAATCCAAGACTATTTTTCTATATGTATTCTTACCTCCTAACAGTCGCCATATTATAATGTTGCAAATATTCACAAACTCTGCAGTCTCTCTAACTCCAATGTATACCAAGCAATCTATTATTATCAACAGTACTAATGGAAAAGGAGTTATAGGGGATGGCACTGGCCACAACAGGAGACGACTCTGTCCCTTCCTGTAAAGTGCAGTGGTGCTTTTAACCCAGTCCACTTTATGTCTCACTTCCTCCGTGTCTTACTCTTACCCCACTTTTCTTAGACAGTTCTTCTTCTTTTTTTTTTTTTTTTTTTTTTTTTTTTACCACACCCAAACTCAACCTTGGTTCATTGCCTGTTATGTCCTTTTCTGACAGTTCCTCTTTTTACCTATGGATGGGTATCGTTTAGGTTTTATCCGATACCTGTGCCAAACCGGTACTTTTGAAACGGTGCCGGTGCTTGGCAATGGAGAATGCAAACTTTGTCCAAAAACCTCTTTATGTTTTTATTTTTAGCAGTCTTTTTTTTCTTTCTTTTTTTTTTCCTGCAAAATGATAACCAAGTTAGCCTTTTCTGTCGCTACAACATACCGACAGAAAGCCTTCAGCCTTACGTCACTAGCTCTCTCATTGGAGTGAAACTCTGCTGTCTGTTCCTTGCTATCTACAATATATAACCGGATGCTGGCGTAAATTTTCGACCATCCCACACTTCTGTTTAATCAGTTTTCTGTTTGAAGTTTATTCAGCTGTGTGGAAACCCTCCCGAGGGATTAATAAAGTTTTATTTAATCTAATCTAATAACTTTAATCTCAGCCAAACCAATTTACTCATGAACAAATTAAACACTGAAAAACGCCAAACAATAACATTTTTACATTATCTAAGTGACTTATATATCATGTTTAACCTGAGTAGCGAAAGACCGCAGGGGTTTTAAAAATTATGTGCCGGGAGTTTGCTGTTCTCGCCGGCGCTGATATTTGAAGTTTACACAGCTCGCCTGAACTCGCCTGAAAATATGTTAAAAGTTTATTTTGTGATCCAGAAAGAGTAACAAGTGTAATATTAAAACTAAGTAGCTGCAGTAGTAGTAGTAGTAGTAGTAGTAGTAGTAGTAGTAGTAGCCATTGCTGGAAACTGGAATTGGCTGGGCCAATCTGGGATGTTTTTTTTTTTTTTTTTTTTTTTTTTTTTTTTTTTCTCCCCAATTTTGTTGTCTGGGTGGAAAATCGGGAGATTTTTGGGAGGGACACTGAAATTTGGGATTCTCCCGGAAAAATCGGGAGGGTTGGCATGTATGGCATACAGTAGGTCAGCAGAGGGAGAAATGTAAACTGCCACTTTAAGGGAAAAAAATTATTTGGTGTATTATTTGCAGCTTTAAACCATATGCTACAGCTTCCTTATTCTTTGCTGGAAGTGTGTAGAAACTAGGTTATGTCCTTCTCAATGTCTACATGTAGACTGGTCTGGCAAACTCCCATGTGCACTTGAATATTCTCAAGGATAATGCACTGGTCCAGCATTCTGCAGCCAGAATGAAAACTGTATTCCTCCTATATTTGGGTTTCCACTAATGTACAAACTCTCTTTTCCAGTACAATAGTATAGACCTTCCTGGAGAGGCTGAGGAGTGTCTTTCTCCCTCATAGTTGGTAGGGGTGGGGGAAAAAATCGATACTGTGTAGTATCGTGATATTTTGTTTGCTAATAATGTATCGATACAGGGACAGCAGAAACCGATATTTTGTTACAAAAAGGTTTTTGTGCTCTGACTTCAGAGCATGTTGATCCTTTTTCTGAGCAAGAATCCTGACATTCCTTTAACTGTCCAAATGTGTTTAACTTTTTTTGGCAGCAATAAACATGACAGTTTACTTATTTTAATTTAAGACATGTTTTATTTTAAGTTTAAATAAAAAAGTTTTAATGTAAAAATTATATTTTGTTTTAATTTACTTTCAAATTCTTCAGTTGCTGAAGGGGCTACATAGTTTTCATAAATTGCATAGTTCAGAATAGCTATAATTGTACCAGATGGTTGCATTCAGTTAAGTTGGACTAGACTGTAATACAAACCGTTCAGTTTGTCAACAATAAAACTGACTGAAAATGAGAGCGAGACTGAGTGCGAGACTTTGATATTAGATAAAACGAATATTGATAAAGTTTACCTTTATGTACAGAATCTGAATATCGCAAAATATTTTTAAAAATTGCATTAATATCGTATCGTGTGTTAAGTATTGTGATAATATCGTATCGTGGGATGTATGGTGATTCCCACCTCTAATAGTTGGGGGACTGAAGGGTGTACTCCACCTTAAAAATGGGGACTACCACCTAGGGCTGCTCATTTAATCAATTTTAATCACGATTACGATTTGGGCTTTCAACGATCATTAAAAATGACTGAGCCGATTATTAGCCCCTCCCTCGTGCTTTACTCTCGCGCTGCTCCGTGTGGCAAATCGAGCGCACCTCTCTGCATTTCGAACACGTGTCACAACAATTATATATTATATATATATAACCTTTCTGCTCATTTATTGTGAGAGTCACCTCTCACAATATATAACTACTTATTTAATATAAGCTTTCACAACATGCCACTAATAAAAGCCACTCGCCTGACAGGTTACCAGAATTTTTTTTTTTTTTTTTTTTAAATGTTGGAAGAAAACTTGTTTGTGCAAAAAGCCATGTTTGCACAAACAACTATCCTGTTTATTTATTGTACTTCTGGTCAATGCTTCTATTGCTGATAATTGGTTAGAAACTTGTTATTTTATTTATTTATTTTTTTATCCTTTTTTCAGGATCATTCCCAATTGAACCCACTACAAACCTTAACGGAGGAAGAAGATGCAGTCCTGTACATTGATGAATGGACAACACCAGCAGATTAGACAAGCCTCTCAGCCCTCGCAAGCTGCTCCTTATCATGCCCATGATGGAACAAGAAATCTGCAATCTTGGACTCCAAAACAAAGCATTCACTATCAAGCAAGAAACCTAGGAGTGCAAAATGCACACGCTGAACATTTCCCTTTGCACAATGGAGCTTATTCTAACAGACAAATGTCAAATTTGCAGACTTCTGCAGGAACTTATCAGGAGGTTTCTTCTCAGCAGAATGGTGGAGGCAATAAAAATAGTTATTTTTCTGGTATGTTATTTAACTATATTCAAAATGTATCAGCTAATAAGCAAAGTGGAAACCCATCTTTGCCAGCATCTGGATTTCAGATTCCCACTCTGCAAGACTGTGATCAGAATTCATCAACTCAGAGTCCACCTAACCAGATGAACTCAAACACTACATATCCCCAGCAAGGCATGTCCACTCATTGGAAAGAGCCACTGGTTGTTAATGAGAGACAAATGATTGGAACACAGGATAGAACTGTGACTAATATCCAGCATGTCAGTGTTCAGCAGGGCATGCAACAGAATGTGAATGGAGACTTGACAAAACCCATTTCAGCGTACACTACACCAACTACCTCATTTCCACCTGAACGTGGTTTATGTACCAGCACTATGATGTCTGGCTCTGAACAGACTGTGTACCTTGTTTCGAACAATCAGGTTCAAAGACAAAGCGGCACTCAGCATGGATTCTCTCCTGTCAACTCACAGAGTTACAATATGGGAACCTCTCAGACTTCAGGAAACAGTAACATTGCAACATATCCACCATCAAGTGCACAGAATTCTTACTTTTCCAGCACCAGCCACAAAACTCAGCAACACTCGGCTCAGCACCAATTAAGAAACAACAATGGGATCAAGACTGCCACCTACAGTAACTCAAATTTTTATAAAAAGTATGAAAATATTAATTACTCTGCAGAAATGAGAGGGCGTCAGATAAAAACTTATAAACAACAGAAAGTGATCAGGCACTCATTAAGTGCAGATGGTTTAAATAATTCATGCACTCCTGGGTTTGATGGTTGTCGTCCTCCTCCACCGTACAGCTATGCAAATCACAGACAGCAGCAGTATGTCAGAACGACCACAATGGTCTCGTCTAATCAATCTAATATTCAACCTGGGACTTCGGCTACCCGTAAAAATTATAGTAACTTGAATTCCATCAAGTTATTACCCGGGCATTCTGGACAGTCTTTACCTCAAAGCACTCAAAATGTAATGTCAAGAACACAGCACGCTGTAAGTACACCCCATCAGCAAACCTGTGTACCTAACGGTTTCCACAAATCTGCTGCAGGAAATGAAAGAAGCCCAAGTAACGAAATTCATCCTAAAAAGAACTGTAGCTTAATTGAATTGTTGCTTTGTTCATCCCTGCTGCCGGAATCTGTTGACCGCAAGACACAATCATCAGTAGCAAGCAGTTTTGAGATGCTGTCATCAGTCCAGTTAAATGACAGCTCCATTCACTCATCACCTGGAAATGCCAGCACCAAAGCTATTGCTGTTGTACAACCACTGCCATCACTGGAAGGTCAGCTTCACAATGACCATGCTTCTTCTGATTCCACAGCAGGAGACTCTTTAAACAACCCTAAGGAAACTTTTGTTTCAGATACCACAGCAATTAACAAAACGCTGCCATCTTCAGAGTCAGGGACACAAAACACAGGAAAACAACCTGAACTGGATGTTAATGTTCAAAATTCAATTCCATCCCAAGAATCAGTATGCCAAAATTCTCCTGAAGACCAAAGTGGGATCCAGACACTTTCAACATCACCCGTTTCTGATCTTTCCGCACTCCCAACATCCCCATGGACATTATTGGCACTAACGAAGTTGATAAAAGATGCAGAAAAGAATCAGAAAGAGCTCAGCGATTTGAAAGAATTACACACTGCACAAAAAATTATAGACCTGTTTTGGGAGGGAAAACTTGAAACACTGCAAATGTACTCATGCAAGGTAGGCTTTCTCAAGGTTTTAGAAGTTAAAGAATTCTGCCAAAAACATTTAACAGCCAACTCTGTTGTACTGTTGCAGGTAGATGGCAATTTTGAGGAGCAAATGGAAAGCTACCATGTCCTCAAAGACAATGAAGTATTTTCAGAATTGCCTTACAAATCATCATGGTTAAATCTAAATGAGCAGTTGGATGAAATAGACAAAGAATTTGGTTTCCCATTGTCTCTGAAACATCACACTTCATTGCTTGAGAGTGATGGCCAGAAAGATCAGATGCACATCAACAACAGTGATCCTGCAATTATGAGTAAAGTGCCAAGCAAGATCTTGCCATCAACACATTTTGAACCCGTTGATTCAAATGAAGGAAAAGAAGCCACCACACTCAAACCCCCCTCCATTCAAACTCCCTCCTCTAATCAGACAGATGATGCCAGTGACCCATGTTTGTCCCTGAAAATCCAAGTTATGCCTCCAGAAGAAGCCAAACGTTACCATGAGCAAAGCGAAAATGAGATGCCACAAAGTATGGATGCAGAGAGGGTCGTAAGTAGTTCCACGGAGAGTGAGACACCTGATAATACAGAGTCCACATCGTGGGAATCAAAATTGGAAACTGTGGAAATTGGCATAAGTCAGTCGCTTTGCTGTCTTACAAAGCTGTTGAAAATGACTATAGGATCAAGTACATCTTATGATTGTAAATGCCACAGCCAGAAAGAACAAAAGTTTGGAAAAGGGTTAAAAAATACCAGTGATAGTGGCGAAACAGTTGTACTAAAGCACAATAACCAGTTTGGGAAGGATCCAGTAAAGGACAAGGAGAACACTGATGATCAAGTTGTGACATTTAGTGGTTCTGAGCTTTGCAGCTTTCTTGGTCAAACCATAGATTTGACTGAAGTTGATGACCAACCTCAATTGCCTTCTGAACAAAATTCTAAGAACCACTCCAAAATAGCCAATACCAGTCATTCAGGTATTATAATTATAAGTGATGAAGATGAAGATCTCTCCAGTGGTGAAAATGAAATTCTTAGCCAGAAGACAGATCTTGCCATAAAGATGTCTGAACCTTACGATAAGTGTGGACAAGAACAACCAACGTCTACAGCATCGAGTCTGTCAGGTGCCTCAGTCAGTACTAACAAAGCTGAAACTGAAAAGTTCTGCAGCACTGAGACTGAGATTGCCATCCAGATCCTGGATCATGACAGGAGTTGTGAAGAAGCTTTAGATGTGCCAGTGTCACCTTTGGAAACCAAAGAGCAATCTCAAATCTGTGCTGAAGGTGACTTTAAAGTATCTGTCAAGCATAAAAAAATCAAAAGAAAACACAAGAGACTCGAATGGGATGATGAATTTGGTCCACCCCAAAAGGAATCAAAGAAATGCAACTTGCCTGTTGATCTTAATTTAGAAAATGCCCTTGATGATGTTTCAAAATGTGAAAAGGAGCCTGCTGTTGAAGCTGAAGCTCTCAATATAGACTCAAAAAGAACTGCAGAACTGGTGCTGTTTGGCTCAGCTCAACAAGACAAGTGTGCTTTAACTGGCAGCAGAAAAGCCCATTTCCGTTTTGTAAAGGGTGCATCTAAGGCAGCACACCTGAGGCCTCCAGAAGTTCTTACTGTCAATCTCAACCCTTTGAGTAGCAAGTCCAGTGACATGGTGTACAAGAGGAATTATTCAGTAAAACAGCTAATTCATGACAAATGGTGGAGAAGTTTTCAACAGACTAAAGCTAGTCACAAAAAACCCCGTAAACATCGTTCTTACTCTGTTGCCGGGGGTATCTTGATGAAACGAGATGGAATTAAGGAATCCCGGAGTCTGAAGACGCTTGGAGAGGAGAAGAAGGATATCACCGCTGATAATAAGAGGTGTTCCTCTAAAAGTGAAAGCCAAAATGTCAAACCTTGCCAGGAGCACATAGTCTTGAGGTTCAGTGTTCTACCCAGTAACTTTGACCTCAAAGATGGATCCAGTGGCAGGAAGCAATCCACCAATCCCATTTCAGGTAAATACCATAGATAGAGGGGGTACCGTTATTCTAATATTGCCCACAATAAAGTTGATTGGATGATGATGATGATGATGATGATGATGATGATGATGATGATGATTATTATTATCATTATTATTATCATCATCATCTATTGAAAAGAATGGATCACAGAAGGCTGATTTTTGGTTTATTTTGGTAAAAACTGTGATCTCTCCAGATGGTGCAGACCCATTCTTTTTGGTAAAGATCCAAATTTATGAAGCTAAAAGTATTCTTTAAAAATTTAAAATTTCAATGCTTTATTGTAATTCACGTATAACGCCTCAGTTTTGTTTTGTTTTTGTTTTTTTTGTTTGTTTTTTTGTTTGTTTTTTATTGCATGTTAGAAGGGTGATTGGCAAATATATTGTTGGAGTGTCCACATAAAGCAGGGACATTCAACATAAATTGACCCAGAAAAGACTAATGACATCTCTGCTCCTCGATGGGTCATAGTTGGAGTGGGATACTGGTGTCTTGCAGATTAGAGTGGTGGTAAACATGGGAACTGGAAAGTACTGTTTGTTTTTTCTTTTTCTTTGAGACGGACAACAAAATTTATTTTAAGGAAATTTTGAATCTGTCTTTCCAGAAGAGCCAGAGAAAGAGCAAAGCGCTGCTACAGCTGCTGCAAAACCGAAAGGTAGCAACTACATCTGAAGCATACATCAGTTCTTATTCTGCCTTTTTAAAAATTTTATTAATTAGGCAGTTTTTGTCTAATGGTTATTAATTACATCATAGGTAAATGGAGTTCGAGTCTGCAGAAGAATCGACCTCGACCTATTCCCAAGACCTTCAGTCTCTTCCACGAGTATCAGAAGAAATACAAGGAGCGCTCTCACTCAAAAGATTAATAATGTGAAAGATGTCTCTTCTCAGGGAATACTTTTTTTTTTTTTTTTCCATTTAAGACATTTAGTACAAAGATTCTGACTAAAATTATGCCTTTGTGTTTTTTTCTGCAGTGTATATACAAGCAATACATTAAGGCTGTGCAACCTTTTGTTGTTTACATGTCTGTAAAAAGCATTACAGTCATGGAGCAGGTGTAGTTACTGACTTGTGGGATGTGGGAACTTGGCAGCCTTTACAAATTTGTTCAAGTGATGACATTCTGTTCGTCATTGATTATTATTGTGTCACTGCTCCTTGTCGGTTCACCACTGTACTCGCGACAGACATGAAAGGAATACATGGTATTTGCTGTCGGTGCAGTTCTGTTTAATGAGCTGAGAAGCTCTGAAGATGCATGACACTGCATAGTTTGTCTTGTGTCTGTGCATCAGAGAGTGCATGCAGACTTTAGATAGTAAGTCCACATGTTCAGAGCCATGTTCAAATTAACAAGTGATATCCATGAAAGGGGGTGTAAGTCTAAAATCTTTGTTGTTGTTTTTTTGACAAAAAACTTGACTTGTAACATTTGCATTGTGAGTTTTTTTTACTGTTTTTCTACACTTTCAGTATTTGTACTCTAACCATTTTTTAAAAATTTTTTATTATTGTTTCTATGATTAAATTATCCATTTTTAATGTGGTTTTGTCTTTGTCTAAACTAATAGTAGGTATTATAATTGATTTATAAGCTGCAATAGTTGTTTAGCATTAAAGGGAAATGGCGTAGTTCCTGGAAATAATCTGAAACAAACCCAAATTACAGGAAGGTGAAATGCCCATTAACGGTTTTATTCTGCTCCTTGCAACGATCCTCTTTGTTGATCTTATTGTATTGTTTGATATCAAATCAAAAATGTTTATGCATGTTTTTACTTTATAGCAGTTTTCTGGAAATTACCCCATATGGAAAAGAAATAGTAAAAACTTATATGATTTACTCATGAAAGTGGCCACTTTCTCATTACTTTCATATGTTGTTTTAGTAAGTATCCAAAACATACAAGTTTCATTTATATAATTTTTCAAGGGATCTTATATCTGTTTTCACTCTTGTATGCTTTTCATACAAGTTTCACACAAGACAGATACAAACTTTATAAGATTTATATATATCTTTTCCATATGGGACCCTAGGCATCTGTCAGATGTCAGATGTGGCACTGTTCAAACAACATCCAATTTGGGCTTGTTGGAACTCACTCCCTTAACTAAAACACAATTGCACAGTTTCATGTTGAGATTCATATCCTTTTTAGATGCATCGCTCCAACACCACCAGGTAATCGCCCTTATACTGCTGACATGTTGCTACTTGAGAAACTAACCCTCCCTATCAGTGTAAATTCCCCTATACTTCACCAAACTACCAGCTACATTCAGCTCACTTGCTGATCAGCCAGTATGTGTGGAACAAGCCGTTGCACACAGTCCTGCAGGCACTTTCCATGTAGCTATGTCACTTTTTTAAGTCACCTGATCAAATATAAACGTAATTTAAAAAAAATGTTTTCTAAAAAATCTATAAAGCGGAGGAAAGTCAAACTTATGCACTTTTGCTTACTGAACACAGTCATGTTTCATTCGCACTGACATAAGGTTACTTTAAAAATACTGAAATTACTGCTTAGAATCAAATGTGGTTATTATTTTTTTTAGATATGATATGGTGACCTCTAGTGAGATCTTTGATTCGCCAGAGATAAAAATTTTATTATGTGTGTGTTTCAGCCATGAACATTCATTTTGTCTAAGCTTGAAAACCTATCTTTAACAAGGGTTAGTTTATTACTTTATGTAAAAACATATTTGAATATATTATCAGTTGATCCACCTGTCCCACCTATGCACCATACACCCTTCACAGTTTGCCAGTCCACTGCAACACTCATACATAGAGACAATCATTCAAAGTTACATCCACACACAGGGGCTAATACCAAACTAGACAATGCTAATTAATACCAAACTAGACAATGTACACAGGCACAGAGGGAACATGTAAACTCAGAAAGGCTGTTTTGAACCGTGAGCCATCTTGCTGCTGGACTGATATGCTGAATCACCCATATGATCATTCTTCTCATTTCTTTGTTCTTAAACACCATTTTCAGTTGGCAAATGTATTTTTATTGATTTTCTCTTAGTTGCAAATTTTGATGTTTATATATTCAGTGAGCTAAAACCAGAATATCAGCACCAACATAAAAAAGTCAATACAGCTAGAAAAAGCCACTATATTGTCACAGTGGAATTGAGATGATTTAATTTGAAACAGCTGAGATTTCTGTTTTTCGTTTCATTGACGGATCGTAAAATTACTAATGTTCAACGGCCTGTGTGAGCTTTCATAATAGATTATAGGCAGCCTGTTTATCGGGGAGGAATGTGAAGAATGGTGTTGCATAACAAAAATCAATATTTGTTTTAACACTCTCATTCAAAATAATAATGATCATTAAAATAATACACTTCTTAGTTATTTGGTTAACATGAATGGATCCAGGGTTACGATTAGCAAGTGACAGCAACAAAGCACTTCTTCGACATGAAACAAGCACTAATGTAAATTTCATTCTCTGTATGTCCTTGGTGTTCGAGACAGACAAGGAAACAACGCTACTCATTGCTAAACACTGAAAATAAATCCTTCAGTGTTCTGTTTGTCATTCACTACTGTACAGCATGCAGACAACAGTAGTGGGCCATCTACACATACAGGAACTGCTTGGGCATTGAAACTTATGCCATGAAGCTCCCAGTGGATGATGTTAATAACAGATGTTATGGAATTTCTGTTAACAAAGTCTGCAGACACAGTCAACTGTAGTCAGTACCTTTATTACCAGGCGTGGGAGAAATACACAGACAGTCAGCACTGATGGTTATTGCAGTCATGAGTGCTCTGCGCTCTGGGCAGGGCAGCGCCTCTTTTATAGCATCACACAAACATCTCACAAAAGCTCTATCTCAATGGTATCATAACATACTCATTGCATACAATGCCCACAGGCTGTGGCTTTTTTTTTCTGCTCTTGACGAAGGCGGTCGCACTTTTCTCCTCCTCCTCTCCCTTAGCTTCCCTGCTTAGCCTCTTATGTCCTTGTCTAGTCTCGTGTTTTTTGTATTACTTTTCCCTGGAACACTCTCTCACAGTCTGCTCTCTGAAACCTAAAAGAGGAATTATGGATTTGATCAACTGGTCTCTAAATGCAATTGACACCCCTTTCTCAACGAGAAGTTTGGGCTTGGGTGAGCTTGAGTGCTGAAGATATCTACCTATTCGGAACCATGATAAGAGGGTTCTGGCTGTTCGGAGCTGGGTTGGCCCTGACTTATCGAAGAATTAAGGAAGCGGAACCGGCTGTTCAAACCCCCACAAGGCTGCCCGCTGGGATTGAAACGATGGGAAGAGGCGTAAGTTTCTCAAAATGGGCTCATTGAGTGCACCACGGATAAGATCTTGGAGAGGCTACGGCTGCTGTGAATACTCAGAATAAGACCTCTGAGTGCAGACTGGATTACATCTTGGAGGGGCTCGCTCGGAATAGCATCTCTGAGCGCAAATTGGATGACATCTTGGAGCAGCTCACTGTGGTCGTGAGTTCTCAGAATCAGCTCTTTGAGCACAAGAATGACAACATCGCAGAGCGCAAGTTTAATAACATCATGGCGAAGCTCATGGCTCTCCAACGGGAGATTGAGAGACCAGTGTTGGACTGTTAGAACAGCTTTGAAATTCATATGAGTTGTTCGCACTAAAGTAAAAAGCACCATCACTTCATGCGGATACCCTTTCGGCGCCAGCTGCGGTCGCAAGGCTGGAGCCCAACAAAACACCCTGATAACGACTGTGTTTAGTCTGTTCCTTCCCATTCCATGTAAGGCCACCTGGGTTGACTGGAAGACTGTTTACTTAGCCTGGCAGGGCGAAGGACGCTGTCTCAGCTGAACTATGGATACGCACACACATACATATACACTAATATGCACACACTCATCCCCCCTCCCTTTCCAAACGCCTTCGATGCTTGTTCCCTCCTGGGAACACGGCGGGTCTGAGCCCGCGCTGGAATGGTAGCGCTGGGCAGGATGGCTGCTGTGTTTGCTTCGGATTACTCCTCACCCCCCACCCGACTCTGTGGCTGGTCATGTGTTCCATAATGTTGTGTTGTGGACATTTATGTGCTTTTTTGTGCAGAGGAGTTTTTTTGTTCCCATTTCACTGCAGGGCAACCTGCACGTGGCAAATAAAGCCTTGATTGATTGATTGATTGATTGATTGATTGATTGATTGATTGATTGATTGATTGATTGATTGGCTGGGCAGAGAGCAACTGATCACATGGGAAAGTCAAAGCAAGACATACTTGTGGGGTTGTTGCAGGATGCAGATTCCGACGTGTCAGTGGAGATCGGTGATGCATCAGAATCTCCAATCTAAGCGCATATGGCTTTATAGAGACAGATTGATTACAGTAGTTAGTTTGCCTGCCTGAAAGTCTGCCTTCTGTCATTTTTTCTGTTTTCTGTTCCCAAAAGGTTTATTCTGTTCATCTGGACGTAGCGCTTTCAGTGTGAGAAACATTTCATCACTCATCCAAGTGACTTCTTCAGTCTCAGCTGACTGCAGGTTTCACCAACCCTACAAACAGTTGTGGTGGCAGATTTCTTTTCTCATGTATTAATCACATATTTAATCATATCACATTAGATACAGTAATATCAATTTCTCACTTTACTATTGTAGGAGCATTCCTGTCACTAGTTTACATGCATGTGGAATGTTAACACAGTGAGGCCATTGTAATGGGAGACATTATACAGATAGTGAGACTCCTTCTGCTTATCAGGGATGTAAATCCTTAGGTGACGGCCAAGCAGAAAACAAAGTCATAATTCTCTCTGTGAAGGAGGAGGGGCCAACATGTGAGAGTTAGTGGAATGTTCTTTGTCTGTGTCTCTGTATATAAGATGCAAGGACGGTGGCCACAATTCAGAGATGGTGCTGGTGTTTCACTGGGATGCTCTCTCCACATTGCAATGTGTTTATTAAACCCACTTCAAATCAAGCTCACTGGGTGTGTTGCAGGTTATTGTTAAAATTTCCATAACACAGTATATTGCACAATGACTGAAAGTAGCACCACTGAATTATCAATGGGCTGTGAGATCAGTTCCTTGATCATTAATATGCAAATTCTCATGACCATTGATCAACAACTACAGATCAAGGGTCACTGATCAAAGACCTTGTCATGTTTTCTGTTATGTGAGTGCTAGGTGGCAGCTGGCCACTGGTTGGAAACTGGAGGCGGCGACTTTAAATTAGGACCTGACAAGACTGGTGTTGCTCTGCTTTGTTCCTGATTCTAACTAGACTGCTGTATCCTCCCATCCTGGAGAAAGAGCCGTTCAAAGAAATCATTAAAAGACTATAATTAGACATTTACACCACTGATGAATATCTGTAAACTTCTGACCAAATCTGTTTATTTAAAGATGGTCTTGAAAAAAGTCATTTTTGTAACTTCCAGATAACCTGTTAATGTCAGCTACTACTTATAAGGGAACTGCAGTCATCCTGCTGCTCACGTTTGCACAAAGCTTATACTCACACCCAGAGACTGATGAAACCAATAT